GCATAACCGCCCCTGCCACAAAGGAATCCATTTAGAAGCCTCTAATACAGATGCTCTTCTCATCTACTGATGAGCATGCTCCCCTCCCGAGGGCATTATCCTAGTCAATAGCCAATTTGGAATTCTCTCAAAGATGAATGTTTTAATGTTTTTGATTTTCATAAAATTTTTGAACTGGAGAAACGTAACTTTACCATTGCACCAATAAGCCATGTGATTAGGAGAAACTCTCAAGAGAGGTGCTTGGTCCACATGAACCAGGGGTGTTGCATTGATAGCTTCAGCTATGCTCCGGTGTTGGACTCAGGCAAATTCCTTACAAAATTAGGTGGGATGTGCTGCCTAGGCGCACAGAGAGGCCAACTCAGCCTAGCCTCTAGTTTATAATGCAGATGTAAATTTCTAAACTGCCACGTACTTTATTAATTAACCAGTAAGTGTATTTGCAGATAATCGGAACCACCTGATCAGGAATCTGTGGCTCCTGCCATTCTAATCTGCCCGAGGAAAGACAGTCCATAATAGCTAGTCCAATGTGGCTCAGTTTAGGGCGAGAGGGCAAATGGGAAACTTTGGGGGTTCGTAGTGAATGATTTTCAAGTATGAATGTCACCTTGGAGCACCACTCAGATGGAAGGGCTTTTAACAATACATGTATATTAGTTATAAATCAAGATTCTAGACATCTTTAGGGCTTTCCCCCCCCCCCACCCACATAATAGATAGCACTTGAAATTCACTGTAACTGGCAGTGAACTTCGTGGTAGAGAATTCTTGATAGGCTTTCTGAGGTGAGGAAGTTCAAGACCAGTGACGTGTCCATCTGCAACTCGTTTTAGGTGGCACCTACTCGAAAGCATCTACTCCTAATGGCTATGATAACGGCATTATTTGGGCCACTTGGAAATCCCGGTGGTATTCCCTGAAGGAAACCACCATGAAGATAATTCCATTCAACAGACTCACCATTGGAGACGGACAGCAGTTTCACATGGGAGGAGCCAAAAAGGTCAGCCTAGAGCACCACGGGGAAATTGAAGATGACTAAGTAGCTCTGCACCCGGGGGTGGGGGTGGGGAGGTTGTCGGGGACTGTTAGTTTTTGTTGACCCACAAAGTTTCCAAAATTTTGTGCAAGTTAGTTCCTATTTTCTTTTAACCTATTTATCATTTAAGTCTTCTATTCAGGATAGTTAGCCTTTTATGAAAATTAAACACCCCTTTGGATTATACAAGGGGTCTTCTAAAGGTTACTGCAAAGTGCATATTATTTAAAAAACTGCATGGATCGCGACATTTTGTTGCATCAACATAAACTTCTACTTTATACTGTGTCATTTCCAAATGTCTAAAATCAGAGTTTTTTAAAATGTACTAAGTTGAGAAGCTAGCATTCTGACTTAAGGGCTTTCCCCCCCCCCACCCACATAATAGATAGCACTTGAAATTCACTGTAACTGGCAGTGAACTTCGTGGTAGAGAATTCTTGATAGGCTTTCTGAGGTGAGGAAGTTCAAGACCAGTGACGTGTCCATCTGCAACTCGTTTTAGGTGGCACCTACTCGAAAGCATCTACTCCTAATGGCTATGATAACGGCATTATTTGGGCCACTTGGAAATCCCGGTGGTATTCCCTGAAGGAAACCACCATGAAGATAATTCCATTCAACAGACTCACCATTGGAGACGGACAGCAGTTTCACATGGGAGGAGCCAAAAAGGTCAGCCTAGAGCACCACGGGGAAATTGAAGATGACTAAGTAGCTCTGCACCCGGGGGTGGGGGTGGGGAGGTTGTCGGGGACTGTTAGTTTTTGTTGACCCACAAAGTTTCCAAAATTTTGTGCAAGTTAGTTCCTATTTTCTTTTAACCTATTTATCATTTAAGTCTTCTATTCAGGATAGTTAGCCTTTTATGAAAATTAAACACCCCTTTGGATTATACAAGGGGTCTTCTAAAGGTTACTGCAAAGTGCATATTATTTAAAAAACTGCATGGATCGCGACATTTTGTTGCATCAACATAAACTTCTACTTTATACTGTGTCATTTCCAAATGTCTAAAATCAGAGTTTTTTAAAATGTACTAAGTTGAGAAGCTAGCATTCTGACTTACCCCCTAAGTACATAATAGCAAAGGTATTGTCATTTTTTTTTCATTTTTTAATGATCACTTGTCATTTTTATCTTGGCAATTATTTTGTTTTTATTAGAACTTACATGTTTTAGTACATTTAGTACTGATAAAATAGGAGAAAGTTTGAGTTTCAAATGCCTATGTATTTTTTGCATGTTTCTTACCTCTAAGATATTCATGACTAATTTTTTTAAACAGATAGAATTATGTCTTTTTAATGTGCTTTTTTTGTTTTGTTTTGTTTTGTTATGTATTCATAGGTTGCAGACGTTTAACAGACCGTTTCAAAAGTGATTTGATTTTTTTTAATGGACTTTATCTGAACAGAGAAATATGCTATTTTTCCTATGGGACAATGGACTTCCAAAACTTCACTTCATTTTAAAGTAAAAAGAGCCCATGTTGAAAACTCCACTAACAGTTTTATGCTGGTGATAATTTATCTTCGTGCATTTCAATAAACATTTTGTTTCCTAAGGCTAGTCCCATGGTACCTTTTCTTGATCACGCACCACCATCACTTTTTTTTTAATTTGGTTTTGAATTTATCTTGTCTTAGGATGACATAATTTACAAATCTATGCTGATGGTATATCACCTCTAATTTAATCCTTCTAATTCATTGGCAAAAGCACCGTTACCAGTCACACACATACAGTAGTTATTAAGTTTCTATGGGGTTTCGAACAGTTGTCTAAAGACAATCCTGAAATATAACTTAGCCTGACTTAGACGATAGAACTCAAAGGTAAAATTTAACTTGCTACTAAATCTTGTCCCACGGACTTTTAAAACTATCTGACCTTCTAAAGTGTTACATATTCTTTATTCGATAGCACACGCAAACCACATTACAATGCCTTTTTAAAAATTATGTATTTTTAACTTCATTTATTATTTATTTTTCATTTGACCAGAGAGGAGCAGAGAGAGAGAGAGAGAGAAGTGAGAAAGCAAGCCACCAGGTCTGGTACTTGAACCATGGTCAGCCATGTGGAAGTCCAGTGCTCTTAACCACCACACCACCTGCTGGCCCTAAAATGTCTTTCAATAGGTAAAAGGCAGTGTATTCGGTACAGGAAATTCTAATTAGATTGGCACAGTTATAACCAAATACATAAAGTAGACATCACTACCTTATCCTCAGCCCTTGCCCTTTAGTGAGTTAATGAACAGAAATTAAAACACAGGTGAATCTGCTTGGTTTTGAGAAGTGAAGGGATTTCTCCAGCATTTATATATTCATATAACCAGATACACATAAGCCTAAATTAAAAAAAAAAAAAAGAACTATCTTCAGTAGGTTTGAGATGGCATGATCTGAGTTCTGGTGTAGGAGATTAAAATGTGGTACACTTTAAAAAAAGGTGAGACATTCCTGTTTTGTCATAAATAAGGCAGTGGCCACCTATTACTCATTAGTCGCTTTTTTGAATAAGCTATCAACTCTGCTCTTTCTGACTTCTCCTCTTCTCTTCTCTTCTCCTCTTCTCTTCTCTTCTCCTCTCCTCTTCTCTTCTCTTCTCTTCTCTTCTCTTCTCTTCTCTTCTCTTCTCTTCTCTTCTCTTCTCTTCTCTTCTCTTCTCTTCTCTTCTCTTCTCTTCTCTTCTCTTCTCTTCTCTTCTCTTCTCTTCTCTTCTCTTCTCTTCTCTTCTCTTCTCTTCTCTTCTCTTCTCTTCTCTTCTCTTCTCTTCTCTTCTCTTCTCTTCTCTTCTCTTCTTTCTCTTCTCTTCTTTTCTCTTCTCTTCTCTTCTTTTTCTTCTTCTCTTTTCTCTTTTCTTTTCTCCTCCTCCTCTTCTTCTTCCTCTTCTTTTTCTTTTCTTTTTTTAGAGATATTTTTTTGCTTTAGAGCATGTGCACTCACCAGAGACACAGAGCAACAAAGTGAGGAATCACCACCCAGGGAGAATGGCCATGCTGCAATCCCTTCTCACCACCCAAAGGGAATGACCATGTCACAATCGCTTCTCCTCTATTCTCCTCTTGGGATTTTGGGCATACATGCACGTGCACCTGGTGTAAGTTTTAAGCCTCTGGGTCCAGGACTCAAACCACGGTCATCTACATGGGAGTCCAGCAACATAGCCATTACGCCATCTCCTGGTCCCTTTCTGACTTCTTTTTAATGCCAGCGAAGGTCGTTTTTGTTCCAGGGATGTACTTGATGGGATTTCCATCCACATATCCTCTCCCCAGGGGATGCCTTTGTTCTGGTTGGCATCTGTGTAAGAGAATCCAGGGGCCTGACCTGTCTTCTGCCCCCATAGACCACGGAGATTGGGCCAGTCTTGTGCTTGCCTTCCTTTCCTATGGGAGGCACTGGGCACACTTCTGAACAAAAATCTTCTTGCCTTTCTCAGTATCACCCATTTTTAAATCTCTCTTGTCGCTCGGGACACTAGGGTTCCTGCTCAGAAGTTGGACATCCCTCTCTCTTGAAAACCATCACGTTTTTGGGCCTTCCTGTAACCCGGTGGTTCAGGGAGCTGGATCCCAGTGGCTCCAGCACTGGACTCAGAGTGTGGTTTGAATCCTGGACCTGGTGCCTTGAAAACAAAACAAAACATGCAGAGCGCACATGCATGCATGCCACAGTCCTGACGGGAGGAAGAGGTGGAGGAGAAGGGATTGCGGTGTGACCATGCCCCATAGGACTGGTGCTTTCTCCCTTTCCCTCTCTCTCTCTCTCTCTCCCTCTCTCTCTCTCTCCCTTTCTCTCGCTCTCTCTCTCTGGCAAGTGCACATACATTCTAGCAAAATAAAAACAAAACACAAAAACAAAAACAAAGCATTACCTCTCACCAATTTAGAAACCACAGCTGGACAAACTAAAGGTGACGGTGGGGGCTAGGCCCATAGTCTTAGTAGTTAAGGGAGCCGGATCCCATATGGCCTACCACAGTTCAAATCCTGGGCCTGGCAGCTTAAAAAACATTCCAGGCTTGTGTGCATGCATGCCCAAAATCCTGATGAAGAAAGGGAGAAGAGAATGCAGCATGACCATGCTCCCAGGGGGAGTGATTTCTCCCTCTCTATCTCTCTGTCTCTCTCTGGTGAGCGCATCTGCCCCCTGGCAATTAAAAACAAAACAATAAGATAATGGTACCTAAATTGTGACTGGAGACAGAACGTTGCTTGGAGAGTTCCCGAGCAGAAGCTCTTAGCCCCACCCACCAATGGTCAGACAGGTCACTCTGAGATGGCCACTCGGGACAGAGATCTTTGGGCAGCAGTCCATCCCCTCTCTCCCCGGTGAGCCACGGGGTACACAGAAGGGGCTGGCAGGTTCAGTGGCCTGAGTCTGGGGATCACCAACATTCCGAAGAGTAGCTGTATCTCCGTAACTTGGCAGAAGGTGGGCAGTGTAGAGGAATCGACTAACTTTAAGAGGAGCAGATCTGGTTGTTCTGATGTTCTGAGCTATGGCTTTGGATTCTCTTCCTTTCCACAGCTTTTTAATTTTTTTTTATTATTATTTTTAAGTTTGGTGTAGGGCTCACGCACTAACTGAAGTGAGAGAAAGAGAGAGAGAGAGAGAAAAGAGCAAAAGTGAGGAATCCCCTCCAGAGTTGATGGCCAGGCCACAAACTCTTCTCCACTCTCCTCTCAGGATTTTGGGAACCCACACACGGGCCTGGCATGTCTTTCAAGCTGCTAGGTCCATGACTCGAACCATTGCAGTCAGCCATGTGTGATCCAGCTGCCACAACCACCTCGCCACTGGCTCACCCCACAGATTCTTAATCTTTTCACTCATTGTTCTCCTGAGTTGGAAGTACCTTATTAAGGGGCCAGCAGTTGGAAGTGTTGTGGTCAAATCAGTGAGAAATAAGACATCCAGACAAGGCCAGCTATCTGGAGTTTTATTGCCAGTGGCTTTCGGGAGAACTCATGTCTTTCAAAGATCCTGCAGCCCAGAGTGAAAGGAAAGGGGTGCTTACAAAGGCAAAAATCACAGTCACTCCCAAGTGCACGTGGTGATTGCAACAGAAGATGAGGAGGGGGCGAAGAGGAAAGGGAGTGGGGTTCCCACGCAAAAGCAGTTACAGAAGCCGAATTGAGAAGGTTAATCATTTCTTTTTTTTTTTTTTTGGAGAGGTTTTTGCCATAGGGCGCGTGCACTTGCCAGACAGAGCGAGACAGAGAGACAGAAAGTGAGAAATCACCTCCCAGGGTGGATGGCCTCACCGCAATCCCTTCTCCTCCATTCTCCTCTTGGGATCTTGGGTGTGCATGCACATGCATCTGGCGTGAGTTTTAAGCCACCGGGTCCAGGACGTGAACCGTGGTCGGCTACATGGGAGTCCAGCGACGTAGCCCTTACGCTAACTGCTGGTCCCAAGGTTAATAATTTCTAAGGGCACTCTCCAGACCTTTGTTTAATGGTCCCATGGCTCTGGGCAGGGGTCTGGTGATGGTAGTTACATTGCTAAGGGACATCTAAACAAAAAGGTGTCAGGCTCGTTAGCAAAGATAGTGAGACTATTAGTCACTGTTTACTCTGGGCAGGAGGAAGCGAGTCTACCGTAAAGTTCAAAGATGGGGGGCTTCTGCTTCATTCCCCACTGGTTTTAGGAAAATGAATCAAATCATTGTTTCATCCATGGATGGTGGCTGGTATCTTCACAAGCAACTTTTCTACACCCTGGGAGGGTAAGGAGCCTCTGTATTTGTACATAGGGGTCTAGATGTTTAGTCTGAGGCGCATCTCATCCTGATGCTCCCAACACTATGGATTCACAATCCCAGTAAGGGCGGGAGTAGTCATTATTAATAAGACAGTAAGTATTCTTTTCTGCTGGCTGGGACAAAGATGAAATTCCCCTGTTGAAGACCCTTCCCCTCCTCATGAAAAATCCAGACAAGCCCAACTAAAGACTCCCCATTGTTGGAAATGTGGAGAGGTCTCGAATAGACCACAGAGGTCTATCCAGAGAGTAAGGGGTTCCCTGGTTGAGGTCATGTTATTTAGTTTTCTCCCATCTCCATTCCAGATTCCCTGTGACCAATATGACCATCCTGTCCCTCCAGTCCTCCCCACACATTGGGTGACAAGGAAAGAGGTCAGGAGACATGAGAAAGTCTTAGCTTGAGAGGATCCTGGGAGTTCTGGATCTGCCATGTCAACTGTTCCACCTATATTCGAGAGTGGTGCAGCCAGACCAGGCTGACCTTGAGGACAGTCGGAGTGGTGAGGATGGCGGCGTAGGGTCCCTTCTAGGTTGGAGTCAGTCCCTGGGTTGTAAATTTCTTGAGCTACACTGAGCCTCCCAGTTGGAATGGATGGCCAGGGTCCAAGGTGGGGATGGGAAGGGCGGCTCAAACACTGCCGTGAATGGCCTTGTCGGTGGAGTCAAGGGCCTGTATAAGCTTGAGTAAAGTATGGTTATGGAATTCCGCCTTCGTCTTCTCTCTCAGTCTCAGGAGAGATGGAGGTCTCCTAAGCACGGTTTCGGAAGGGGGAAATCCCTCCGGGTATGGA